GGGTTTAAAAGAAAAAGTTTATCGGAAGAACTATCTTATTCGTCAGGTGTTCTTGGATGGGCGAGAATTCAAGTTCACGATGATGGCGGGTACGCTAAAGTTTATTATTTTTGAACATTTTTTTTTTTTTTTTTTTTTTTTTTTTCGAGTTGTATTGATAAATAAGTCGTAAGAAAAAAAATTTTTTTATCGTGCTTATTTAATCATCAAACTGGCTTTTCATCTTTATTGGAAATTCAAAAAGACATATCGCAAACCGTACACGGCCCAGATTGCTCAACTCGTTATTAATTTTTAATGGCTTTTTATATATATATATTTTTTTTATTTATTGTGCATCAAAATTTTTATATTGTATTAACTAATATCTATATATATTATTTTTTTTTATTTACTTTTTTTAGGGTGACTCAAAATAGGTAATAAAATTTATCTTTTGTCAAAATTTTGCTACATGCGACGTTAAAAAATACCATTTTGCTAAATTATTTATATATTCAACAAAAATGTAGCAAAAATAAGCAACATCCTACCTTTGAAGGAACATTTAGTTTATATAATGAATTATATCATATAAAATCTATTGAAAATTATCAATTAACTAAATTTAATGATGATCCGGAGATACCAAATCCTTCTGCACGTCTTGATGTTCATAAATCATCTACGATGGTTATTTATCGTGAATCAGACGTTAAAAATGCTCTTTACAATAAAAGATCATCCTCAGAAGTTGAATCTTGTTCAATGGAAGATGTTGTTGGTGCTGAGAGCCTACGTCGTAATCGTATCCCGCATGGTGACTTTTTATCGTTAAATTCTAATGAACAATTTGGTAGCTCATGGTGGAACTTAAAGATGGGGAGTGTTTTTGAAAATAAACATAAACTGTCGAAAAGAGATGTAACGGGTTGTCCTACTGGTCGAAAAATTGCTTACATGGCATGTACATTTTTAAAGTTAATTTACTCGTAATTCTTCATATTCATATTCATATTTTTATGAACTTTTTTGATTTATTATTAATAGGGAGCGGCCGCTGATTGTACATACGGTTAGTAAAATTTGTTAATATTCTATACATCTAGAATATCTATTTATGGTCTACTAACAAAATAAAATAAAATAAAAATTATAGTCGATCATTATAAATCTGCGGATGCTGCTCGAAAGCAAATTCTTCAGAATTGGGGCACAGCCTCGGCTGTTTATGAAAGAACTTTTAATGTGACCCTTGGTCTTATTAAAATTGAGATCCTGCCCCAACTATGTCCTAAAACTCCTGACCCCGCATTTCCATTTAATCGACCATGTGAAGAAAAATATACTATAAACGATCGTCTTAGTGACTTTAGCCAATGGAGGGGCAAATCTCGTAAGTGACAAAATATTCAAAATTAACAAATTTTTAGAAATTAAATTAATATTTTTATTTTATTTTATTTACAAAGCGGATGATGGTGCAGGTTTATGGCATCTTATGTCCAAGTGCAAGTAAGGCTATAATTTTTGGTTTTCAATAGATTTTTTTTTTAAAACAAAAAGATTAACAATTTGCATCATAAAATATCTAGTACCGGTACTAAAGTTGGCGTTGCATGGTTGGGACAATTATGTAAATCAGAATCAACTCTTCAAGGTAAAAAAATAAATACTTATGACTGAAAATATTCTTTTAATATTTACTCAATATTTACATTAATTATATTTACAGATCAAGGACAGTATGTATCTGGTACTGGGGTTTCTACTGTTGTTAAAGAAGAGTGGAAAGTTGTTGCTCATGAAGTTGGACATGGATTTGGTAACTATAATTAATTCATTCATTATCTATTGTATTATTAATACTTTTAACATTTATTCACTATATTTAATAGGTGCTGTTCATGACTGTGTTGCTGGAAATTGTCCTTGCAATGGTTGTGAATGTTGTCCATTAAGTCAAACAGTTTGCAATGCCGATAATAAGTTCCTCATGAACCCAACAAGTAATGTAGCTACAAATGATTTCAGGTATCATAAATTCTACATTTTTTTTTCTTATAATCATAATTTTTTTGATATCGCTCTAACCTTGGTTTTCTTATAGTCCATGTACTATTAACGATATATGTTCAACTTTACCAAATATGGATAGCTGTCTCCAAGGTTTATATATATAACTCTCTATTTATTTGTGCTAATACACTGTATTAAATATCAAACTAATTAAATTCTCATTTAGACCCTGGTTCAAAATCCATTCTCAGTCAATCTATGTGTGGAAACGGATTGAAAGAAGATAATGAAGAATGCGATTGTACGTGTATTATTATAATTACATTCGTTACGGCCTATTAAATTAATGAATTTGTTTAAAATTATATATAGGCGGCACTGATTGCGCTTCTGACCCTTGTTGTGACGGAACAACATGTAGATATAAGGGTAATGCGGTTTGCGAGTAAGTGAATCTTAATTATATAGATTTATTTTTTTGTATACAGTTAAATTTACTAATTTAATCGTGTAATTTATTAGTGACATTAACGACATGTGTTGTAATAAATGTCAATTCAAGCCTGCTAACGAGCTATGTAGACCTGCCAGTTCTGATTGCGACATTCCTGAATATTGTAACGGAACTTCTGGTGTTTGTCCATTTGACCAACATGTTGCTGATGGAACTGTCTGTGCTCCTAACCTTGCATGTGCCGGAGGTCAATGTACATCTAGGGATAATCAATGCCTTACACGTGGTGGTCGCTTGGGTATCACAAAAGCTTGTTCGCTTTTATCTGATTCATATCCAACATGTACTATAAGTTGTGCTAATCCAAACGACACAAGATCATGTATTGAAATGAGTGGATTTTTCGTAGATGGTACTCCTTGTGGATTTGGTGGAAGATGTAACAAAGGACAATGTGGCAGTGGTTCTATAAGTAAGTGTGTTCTACAAAATATGTGCATGAAATTTTTTTTAAATTTGATATTTACATTGTCCTTTAATTGTTACTAGGTAATAGTCTTTCAAGCTGGATAAATCAACACAAACGGACTATAATCCCAATTGCGGCAGTTATTGGAGCACTCTTGTTATGTTGGTACGTAAATGCATTCGCGTCGGTTACATATAATGTTAAACTACTAATTAAATACTTTTTCTTTTTATAGTATATTACATTGTGTATATCGCTGTAAAAAGCGACGAAATAATCCTACAAAACTACGAATTCCTTCTCAATCTCCACCATCAAGAACAAATAGTTATAGCGCTCATAATGGTGCTAAGTGGGTTGATCCATCTCCGTATAACGGTTCTATATATCCTGATCATCAGGAATTCAATAATGAACGAATACCTACGCAAACACAGGTGCATCGACAAAATTCGCGTTCTTCAGATATTATGTATGCTGGAACAGGTCACATACATCATCCACGACCAACATTACAAACAACTTTCCAAGGACGACGAAGTGGATCTCAAGTATCACCATCACCTGCTTCACCATCCATGGGATCATTAGGATCACCTGTTTCACCATCCAGATCAATAAGATCACCTGCTTCACCAGCCATGGGGTCATTTAGATCACCTGTTTCACCATCCAGATCACCTGCTTTACCTCCAAATCCCAATTCATCGAGAAACTATGTGGATGACACTCTATTTAATGGACCAAGGAATCTAATGAACAATGGACAATGGACTGGATATCATCCGCAACAACATCCTCAACCACAACCATATCCTCAATCACAATCACAGCCCCATCCTCAACAACAACCCCAACCATATTCTCAACCACATCCCCAACCATATCCACAACCATATCCAGAACCACGATTATATCAACCACAATATCAAGAATCACAATCACAATTCCAAAATCAACATTTCAGACATTAATAGTTTAATATAAGGATTTAATTAATTAATAATCTTCTCCCAAAAATTGTCGTATTTGTACAGTATATTTTCCTTTTTCACACTTACAAATTTTTATGTCGAAGTATTATTTACTTGCATTATATATATGTATGTAATTGTAATTTATTATTTAATTATTTCGTTTCACACATACAAACGGAAAAAGGGTGGGCATTTTTTTTTATTTTTTTTTTAAAAATAAAAAAATAATTTAATAATTTGTTCGATTTTAAATACATTATAGAATTGAAAAAAATATATATTAAATATTGGAAATTATTAGTAGTGTCATAAAAGATTTGCTAATAAAATAGACGACTTTTTTTATTATAATTGTAGTTTTTTTCAAATTACGCTTCTCATCATCCAAATATAATTCACATTTTGGTTATATGAACATTTATTCCTTTGGAGAATAGATAATCGAATATGAGTGCTTTGGTTGTCGACCTGGAAGACCTTTCAATTAACGCATTTATTATTGTCATTAGGAATAATGTGTTGATATAATTTTGCTAAATTCAATTTATGAAAATATATGTTCTGTACAAGTATATTTCTGAATGGGTATTAAAATCAAGTTACGAATAACGTCGTTTTAATAGCAAACCTCCCATATGCCAACTATTAAATTTACTCAAATTCGGAAATTTACAGTGATTTGAATTGTTGCGAAAAAAAAAATTTTTTTTCATTCTTAATAATCATCTAAACTCGAAAAATCTTTAAAAAAAGTTCGTCGATACAAATCACTCGAAAATTATTAGATTTAGTGAAGCTTAATTTAGATCAATCAGTAATACCAATGAGATATTGATATCAAAGAAAACAGAAAATTCAAAGGTTTTTGACCGAAATATTCTTGGCCAATGCTAAGGTATAGTTGAAAATAATTAAAAAGCTGCAAATCCTTAATTCTTTAATTAAGGTTAAGTTATAATAGATCTTAAAAAATTTTTATTGATTTTTCAATTAAAGCATTACATTTAATTAAAGTTTTTTAAAATTACGCTTTTTTTTTTTTTTTTTTTTTTTTTTTCAAAATTGATAAATCTTAAAAATAAATAAAGTATACATATAGTTTAATTCAAAAATAATTAAATAATTACAATTCTTTGATTTTTAAATAATGAGGCCCTTTTTGAAATCTGCAAAATTACATAAAATTTCAAGTAATTTGGAAAAAAAATCAATAATCCAAACAGCAGTGATGAATTAAAACAAACGCTGATCCTTTGCAAATAAACTAATACCGCGAAGTGCAAAAGATTAAATAGCTAAAGTGGGAAATGAGTCTATCAGTCACGTGTTCATAATTTTTGAAACTTTCTGGTTAAATAATCGTAGCAAGAATCTCTCATTCTGCTAAATGTCAATACAATCAATTTTTTTTTTAAAAAAAAAAAAAAAAAAAAAAAAAAAAAGCCAAACTTTTTCGTTGTCAGAAGATGCTAGGAGAACTAACAAAATATTTTGCGTAATATTGATCAAATTAACTTTTTATAACATTAGCACGAGAGAAATTTTCATCAGAAATTCCACGTAAGACTTGTTATCTGGACAATTTATTCAATGCGTTCAGCTATTGGGAGTTATGATTAATGTATGATATTTTTTTTTTTTTTTTTGGAAACAAAAAGTCATTCTCTCTTAATAGCATTAATTTATTAATAAAAGTTTGTTAAAAATAGCTTTTTTTTATTCAAGAGATGCATGCAATTGTTTAGAAACGACTATAACAGAATTACAAAATGTCGACTAATCACGTATAATTTTACATAACATATTTTTGCACGCATGAATACCAGCTACAGGTCAAACTACCCAGGATTGGTGGCCTCATCTTTGAAGTAAACGTTGTGAAATATATAGTCTTTGTTTTAGTACCTGTAGCAGCTCGGAAACAGTCATAAATATTAAGAGATCCTAGCATGACATTTTGTTTGAAAAGATCATGATTTGTAGGTATGCTGATTCTGACATTTGCTTTCATATTTTCTCACCATATAAATCGTAAAGAAATCAATAACAGCGTGATACTAATGATCAATCAAGGAACGTCAACATGTAGTCGCTCTTCCCGTGGCCATTGAAACTTTGCAAAACGAGGATACCGTTATTGAGCTACAAAAACCATTTATCAAATGAAGTAAGATATCTCTTCAAAAAATTACGTGTGATCTGATGAATAACAACGTTTCTTCCAATTCTTTATCATTTCCATTCATAAAATGCTATCATTGAAAGTTATCCCCCAATGAGGGTTACGGTATGTTTCGCCGAAACCCGTTCCGCCGAAACCCCCTTTGCCGAAGTCATTTCACCAAAAGGACATTTTGCCGAATGTCTATTTCGCCGAATGGACCTTTCACCGAAAAGAAGTTTCGCCGAATGAACATTTCACCGAGAGGACGCTTCGCCGAAATGACGTTTTGCCGAATCCGTTTTACCGAATGGACACTTCTCAGAATCCGTTTCACCGAAAAGACATTTCGCCGAAAACGAAAATAATTCGCTGTTGGTTGTTAGCAACTTGTCAGATTTATTGAACTTTTTTTATTATTTCAAACGAAATTTTTAAGAAAAAACTTACTTTATAATGTAGAACCTAAAATGATAAGTTAAACAAATGTTACGCAGTAGTCATTTTCGGCGAAATGTCCTTTCGGTGAAACGGATTCGGCGATGTGTCCGTTCGGCAAAAAGGATTCGACAAAACGTCATTTCGGCAAAACAGCATTTCGGCGAAGTGTCCTTTCGGCGAAAAAGTCTTTCGGTGAAAAGTCCATTCGGCGAAGTGGTCGATCGACGAAGAGTCCTTTCGGTGAATTAGCTTCGGCGAATTGGGTTTCGGCGAAACGGATTCGGCGAAACGTCCGGATACCCCAATGAGATATCTAAGCTAATAATAGAGGTGTAGTATTTAAAGATGAATTAAATAAAAAAAATCTATTCCTCCTCTTTAAACTTACCTCACGAATCGGTTTGACCAATTTCGAGATCTTTAATAGCTCACAATATTTCGTTATTTGTGGAGTTTGTTATTGAAATATTTATCATCATTATCAGGGCCTGTTGGAAGAATGTGCAATATGATAGCGCAGAAAGAATGATGCGACAGCCATAAGTCATGCATAATATAAAGCAATGCATGGCGTACAATCGTTCAAACTATTTTATGTTGATGTTCTATCAGGGAAGTTATAAGGTTCGCCACTAAGCTTTACTATAGTCCATTGGAGAAAGTCTTAACCATTTCCTTACGAAGAATTGCAGCCATCCTCAACAAGGTTCAAATTTTTTCCTCGTAAATTGTTTCAAGCTCACTCGCAATAAAAAAAACATTTCACAACATTGACTGAGGGACTACTGTAGACATATAGTCGGAAACCGGAAACGCAATCAACACATTTCAGAACGTCATTAAAATCATTTTAATACAAATATGATTAACAATTCAAAACCTTGAAATGTGGATGAAATGATTTCATATTGTTGAATAGAGAATGAAATATATGTTGAGTTCTAAATTATATTTTCTAACGAAAAAAATGTTATTTTTTTTTTTATTTTCTTCTTTTTGTTTAACAAAGACCGAAATCGAATTTAATTAAAATAAAAAAGTGTAAAAGTTCTAATAGATTATTTTTATTGATAAATTCGTGTTCAACCACCCATAAACATTGACTCCGAGAACCTTACCAAGGATGAGTGATTATTATTATTATTATTATTTTATTTCGTGTTTAAAATAAAATTCTACATTAACTAAGGTTTCTATTGCTGATGAAGACGCTCCAGATGAATCTAGCAAAAGCCCAACTTCTGCTTTAACTCTATTAATAAATTTATTGTTAATTCTCATTAAAAATAACAAAACGAAATCAGTCTCGTCCTATTTTTTTGATTATTCATTCTACTCTTAATTTGTGGGTTAGTTCTTTGTTATTATATGAAAACACTTTGTAGTACAGTTAGTTAGTTTATTTTCAAAAATGAAGTTGGTAAAAGTGGTTGCGAAAAGTAATTTGTCCATTCTGTTAGCTTAAAAAAGTAAAAATTTTTTGATTAAAACTCAATCTGTGATAACTCTCCCTCTTTCACACGGAATAGTAAGTCGGTCTCTGCCTATTTGCAACATTATCACCTGCGATTTGGTCCAACCCCACAAATGAGGCATAATTCTCATTTGAAGGCAGAGTTAACGTTAATTTTGTCATTTGTTAGTGAAGTGGAAATTAGTAACTAAATTTAATTATGGCGCACGACTCACATATACAGGTCCATAGAATTCAATACAATTATCTTGCAAACGAGAACAACGTCCAATGATATCCATTTTTGACAATCATACTGTTTGTGAATTCACTATATAAACCTGCTCACTCCACATCGTGGTATTCCTAATGTATAGCATTTGGATGTCTATTATATCATCGTTAAAGCCTACTTCCATAATAAGCACCGCGGAGAAATTTATCCATCCGTGCCAATTTGTTTGATGACCAATTACATGATTTAAATGGAGTTTGAACGCCCAGAAACGGAGGATTAATTCCTACCAATCTTGTCACATGAAATTTCTTTCTTGAAATATGAGCGTTTCTCGAAATCTTCCCAACTCACGTGTACTAATCACTATGTGCCACACCCAAATGTATGGTATTCTTATTTTCAAGCCTCACGTTGAAATACAAGAATTCCCATACTATATTTTTTGTTGAAAAAACCTCTAAGCCAAGTATCGCAAGTGCGATTGGTTGAGCCATCTCATATGCCAAATTTCCAAAGTCGTATCATTTCATCAATTTCTCTTTATCGATTGCATTACATCGTAAAGATCAATTAATTGATTTGGAACTTTTCATTTCTTTCCATGGAACGAACATGTCCTCCTATATTTGATAGGCATCGCCGAAATGAGGTAGTGGTCCAACGTTTTCTTGGTATATCTTAACTGTATCCGAAATCTAAAAGAAGTTCTAAAGCAGGGTGTTTTGACCTTCTGATAATTTGATAGAGAGGTTTGCTGAAGTGTTTCTGCCAGGTTAGGAATAATTTCAAACTAATTTCCGTAACTTAAGCGACCCACCGCATTTATTTATAAACTGCACGGAACGTCTCCCGCGTTGGCTAAGTTTCAATCTCGATCAGTTCGTTCGTTTCATCTGCGCCTAATAAGAACATTGGATGGCTGCTTTGTATTTGCTGGTTATTCATATGAATTGTGATAGTCTTTAAAATTATTCCTAACGTTAAACTCCTTTTCAAAAACCAAATCTAATACATACATTTGTAAAATCTACGAAATGCAAATGCCGATTGCCTTCCACAAAATAGCGATGCAAAGTCCTTATACCGAGCGTAACACTTCTATCGGATGCCGCCGATCCGTTACCAGACCCGATCATCAATGTCAACCAATTCCTAATGGATAACATACAGTACATGTTTATATCGGAGTAGCGATTTAAATAGCTGAAACACCGCATGTTCACGGCCGAGAAAATTGAAATCGTGCCCATAAAAGTAAACCGGTGTGTTTATATTGATATATCCATTTCAAGATGCTATCGATTGAGTTCCAAACAAGCCCATTCTCGATAGATTGATGACTATATCAAATATTACCCAATATAAGTAAGTATCATAAAATCTCCTCTCGATAAAGTATTCTATCCTAATTAATAATAATATCTTAATTAATACGATTATTCAGCGACAACATGAAAATCGTAAAAAATTTGGGCATTTTTTATTAGATTTTTGTCGTATAGTTCTTAAAGTTAGTAAGTCTTCGATATCACTCATTTCGGATTTAAACTTTTGTGGGCCGATTGACTAAATTTATCCGAAATAAAAAAAAGTAACATTTTGTAAATTAGTTAGTTCAATCAAACTAAAGCAATAAAGTAAGCCCGATAAATGTTTTATTTTTATTTATATTTAAATTAAAAAGCTTAAATTCACGTTCCGTCCGGTGTATTTAAAATCAAAAACTTTTATTAATTTATTAACTTCTAACTCAAAAAGAACGGAAAATTACAACGAGTTAAAGAATGGGATAATGAATTTGAAAAGTCATATTATTTATGAAAACATTGCAAATAAATAGACTACAGGAAACTAGAGGTTACTGAAAAAAGGGTGAACGAAAATCATACTAATTTTTTTAATGATATATTATACAAAAGTCAGTACACGTGAGAAAGGAAAATTTTACGAAAAAAAACAATAAATTTATTACGAATAAAGCATACTCTTAAAGCTTGCTGATAAAACTCTCTACAAATTAAAACTTTGAATATTCCATATCGGTTGAATATCATTGGAACATTCGGTAGTGAGCGGTGAATCTTGAATTGGCCCATATTTGGCGACAATATTGTGTCCTGCGTCCAATGGTCATGGGAAGCGCCTAACCGTTCTTATTACCGATAAGAAATTTTTGTGATTGTGGCGAAGCAATATTTGGATTATACGGTTCCAAGGTAAGTTCAGAATTTTGTTTGTAGGTGACGGCGAAAAATTCATGTCCTTGTTTGTTTATGTTAAATGATGCTGAATTCATTGTCATTCCTCTTCTTTAATATCCAGGATTGGTTTTCCTCACCTCGCGTGCGTAGCGTAATTTTATTAGTTGCGTTGCTTGCTGTCCAAAAAAGTTTTGCATTTCCGATTGCTTGAATGAGAACTGCTCTAGACATGTTCTAAAAAAATCATAGTTAAACAAGAAGTTTATTAATGCATAAAAAAATAATTACAATTATTTAGGTAAAAATATGTTGATATCTGATTCTTTAAGCCTCTAGATCAAGTCGATTGGCGTGTGAAACATTATTGCACCAAATTTCCAAATTTGAATTCCTGAATAAAAAACTCATTTTCATCTGTTTCACAAATGATTACGAACAATCAAATTTATACTTGGCATAAAAAAGAAATTGTTTAACGAGACACAATATACAATCAATAATCCCTGTTAATCTCTGCAGGATTATTTTTTATTGTGCATCAAATAAGGAAGTGGACCAAGCCTTTTTTACTTATCCAAGTCCAAGCGTTACCTGTCATGATTTTTTCTTGTACTACGTTACCTGTACAATTCATCCTGTTCCATAATACTTATGTAGCACGGAATCGGATCATGAATATTCAGAACCTGGTAAAAATCTAACTGTCATTTGTTACAGAGGAATAACATGACGTTTTAATTAATCCTAAAAATAGACTCTGTACATATTTATAGTATAACATTATTATAATTTATCAAAATCAAATTATCGTTAATATTTACTAGTAACAATATTTTGTAAATAACGCCGAAATTAATTTATTTTTTAGGTTTAAATTAAAATTCTATTAATCATATAGATCTATTAAAATGGTAAAAAGTAAATTATATATGAATAACTTAATATATGAGTATAAATGTATGAATACAGTCATCCTTCATTATAGCAAGCCCATGATGAATTGTGTAAGAAAAAAGAGTTTATATTCACATACAAGTCATAAAATCTCCTTTCGATAAAGTATTCTATCTAGTTAATCATACCTTGATTATACGAATATTCAGCGGCAGCATGAAAAAGTAAATAAATTTGGGCATTTTTTAATAGATTTTTGTAGTATAATTCTTTCATTTCAATAAATCGATTTTCACGTCGTACTAAAGATATAAGTATCTTAAGTCACGTGGTTAATTAATCTGTCCGGCTTTTTAAAATTTTTTTAACTGTCACTTCAAGAACTCGCAAATAACGGAAAGAATCAACGAATTAAAGGATGGCTTAATGAAAATAAATTGACTACAGGAAAAAAGAGGTTACTGAGAAAATGGTGAATATCATACTAATTTTTTCCAAATGATATATTATACAAAAGTCAATACACGAAAATTTTACTAATATAGCTAATATAGCAACGATTTATTTTTTTTTATTTGAAATATCTTAAAAGAAAAAAAATAATTTAAATACAAATAAAGCATATTAATAAATCTTGTTGATAAAGTTCTCTATACTATGAACATTCCAAACCGGTTGAATATCATTGAATTCTTTGGCAAAGAGCGGTGAATCTTCACCTGCCCCATCCCTAGCAATGATATGGTGTCCAGCGTCTAAACAAGACTTAATGGCCATAGGAAGCGGCTGACCTGATTTATTACCGATAAAAAATCTTTGTGATTGTGGTGAAGGAACATTTGGATTATACGGCTCCAAGGTAAGTGTAGAATTTTGGTTGTAGGTGACGGCAAAAAATTCATGTCCTTCTTTGTTTATGTTAATAATGCTGAAATGATTGCCAATCTTCTTTAATATCCAGGATTGGTTTTCTT